TTGTCCGAAATTGTGATCTGATTTCAATACAACACATTTCCAATTAGAGACGTGATCTGAACTGTTAATTTGAATACGTAACATTGCCAATTTGAGATATGATCTGAGCCATAGTGTACTACTAGTTTATTTTCGACCTAGGCAGGCAGGCATGAAGCAACTGCGTTGTGAATGGCGAGCTCGTAGTCCATGAGAATGTATTGTGGTTGGTAGCCCCAAGGCCTCAGAAGCCCAGGTGTCTATCTCCTCGAACATGTTGCGGTAGAGGGTCGTCGATTTTCCAGGAATGAGTCCTTAGAAGAGGGGGAGGTGCCAGCCGTCAGGGAAGAGTCCGTGGACTGTGAAGAGCTGATGGAAGAGATTAGGTGCGGATTTGAAGGTACCGTTGGGCGTTGACTACGCAATGCTCCGCGTCCACCATATGATCTGCGTTCTTAGGAGTCCCCCAAAGGAATGATCGACGAGTCTGTTCGTCCCATCCAGAGTCCCAGAGCATCATTGGACTGTTGTCGGTAGAGAGGATTTAGTTCGCAGGAATGGATAGCGTTTCCAGATCTCTCGGGTCTGTTTGCTGCAGATCTGGGTCTGTTTACTGAAGATTGATTGCCATTGTGGATTGCGATAACTGATCTCCATACGGCTGCTATCCTATATGTACTCATGTAGGCTGTGTCCTGTGATGTGATCGACAGCTTGTTAGTGTACGGCTAGCACAATCCTGTCCTTAAATAGTCAATCACGTATCGATGGATCAGATCTCAATGGATCAAATCAGCATTCGAACAATGGGAGCAACGTCACGAAATTACCCGTGAGTTTGTGAAATACGAATGTGATCCGAAATTCGGACAGATGTCGCCAAAAACGACTCCTGTCCGACAGCGAAATCTGTCCGAAATCCCCAATTCGGCTGTCGGACAGATGTCGCTGTCGGACAGATGTCGCCCAATCGGGTTACTGTTAGGGTTAGTATAATAAATATATTTGTTTGGTCAATTGTCGGGGGGGGGGGGGGGGGGGGGGGGGGGGGGGGTCAATTTTCAAGTATTATATCACTTGCACCGTTTAGCTCCACGTGGTTTCTTAAGCTTAAATACTTAACTGTCCTGTCAAGATAAAGTAAATCACTATCACCTCTCATTCTTAATAAGTTAGTAAGCAAGCATCTGATCATTTTAAAACAGTCACCTCCCAATTTAGCAAGTTCTTACATCTATATTACAGTCTACACCCTTCAATAATGAGATAATATGTTTGGCCGGTAGAGGGTCCGCAGTGGTCCCATTACAGCATTACCTCATTACCTTAGCATTGCTGTACAGTGTACAACTACTATAAGAGTATAAGATATACATCCTTCACCAAAACTGGTTTGTCCGCTTTCTATTACTAATTTTCCGCTGAAAGTGCCACATCAGTGATCAATTAATATTGGTAAATAGCAATAATTTGAGTTATAGGTTGACCTCCCACTTAGAGCATATGTGGGAGGTCAACCTATAAATTATAGTACGAGCTATTTCCAATTCGTGAATACGAATTTCGATTAAGGTCCAACTTATTAAGTGTCACTTTAACGTGTGACAAATTTCCGATCAAATATCTCATAATCTGAAAATAACTGCATATTTAGAACTATTATACTATGTATTAATTGTAATTGAAGATTCTTTCAGAATCACTTCATTCACTAAATCTTACAATGTGAACAATGAACAGGTAGAGGCACTGCAACTGAAAAAGTGCTGTCCTCACTACTTAAGAACATAGCAATCTAATCTAAAAATGGCAACCTAAGAACTGAGGTTAAGCAAACAGTTATTTTCCAATAATCGGTTTTTATACAGGGTGGGCCAAAAGTCAGTGTGCAAACGTTGGGTCTTATACCTCCGCTGAGTTTTATATTTGAGAGCTGTTGCTTTGCAGATGGCATACTGTACTTACTGGTTCGAGGATTCCGTCGTCAAAATTTGAAAATTCGAATATTTTAGACCACGCCCATTCAATATTAAAACACCTATATTGTTTTCTCTGAAAATCCTGAACGCCTAATTTTTTTAGAGACGGTAGATTATCAAATGTTGCATATGATCTGAAAAAATGAGGCAAAACGGATTAGAAATGACGAAGTTAACAAGCATTTTGTGTATCTCGTTAACAAATTGACTGGGTGATTATGTGACACCGTGACACGACACCTTAATTGGGCACCCTTAACAATTCCCATAATGTTTAACGGGGTAGTTAACGGGGTCACCTTATCACGTGATTAGGTAAACCAATCACCTGATCACACGTAATGAACAAGCTTGTTATGCTTCATATCTCGGTCATCTGAGAAGCTAGAACTCTCATTCTTTCAGGGCAAACGTAATTCGAATGGCCAAACACAATTCAATAACATTTAGCTTGATCCGATTATCCAAACTATCAAAAAAATGTGAAAATGAACCTCCATTTGAAAAAAATGAACGCGAATATTTTTCGAGTTGACAAATTCCTCGAACCAGTGGTGGTACTAAGTCATACCAGAAGGAAGTATTTCAATTGGGCACTCAGTGACTGAGCTATTAAGGCCGACGTTTGCACACTGACTTTTGGCCCACCCTGTACTTTTATACTCAAACTTATCATAGACCCCGTGTTGGTAACAGTGGATAATATGCAGTGGCGAAACGTACCTAAGAGGCCGCAGCTGCACCCCCCCCCCCCCCCATCCCCTTCCGCATAGCAGGGGTTGCCGGAGTGTCGGGCGGTCGTTTCGCCACTGACTAGTGACTGCATGTATAAAAGTATAAACTATAGAGCCATGTAGGCATGTAGCATTCTGTACTTCTGTAGCTTTGCACAAACCAAGTCTCAGTCCTACACCCTACCTAGTAATAAGGTTATACGATCATTACAGTATTCCACATTGTACACTCAAATTATCCAAAACCCCTGCCAATATAGGTTTAATCACGCCACAAGTTGATTCAAATTATCTCAACTTACGCAGGATTTGCGTTAACCCATTAGGGACGATAGGGTCGTTTTTATGACCCACCTTTTCTAGACGAAAAACCAAATTACTAAACGCTATAACGAATCTATAGCATATATACTCAAAATTTATTGGGCTTCATTATATGTAGCCCAATAAATTTTGAGCATATATGCTATAGATTCGTTATAGCGTTTAGTAATTTGGTTTTTCGTCTAGAAAAGGTGGGTTATAAAAACGACCCTATCGTCCCTAATGGGTTAAATCTGCAGCATTCGACTTTATATTTAACGGAAAACCTGCCAAAATAGAGCAAACCTGCCGAGAGTAGGTGAAAGGTGAGGCAGGTTTTGTGTTAATTTTGCAGGCTTTTCTATAAATCAACAACTCGATTAAATAATTACGTGAGATAAATCTCTGCACGAATACGATAAATAGGCAGGTTTTCGGTTAATTTTGCAGGAATCATTTTAAGACTTCAAATTGATTATCAGTCTTAATGTAAAACCTGCCAAATTAGGTGGCAGGTGGCAATGGCTGGAAGGGGCCTTATTACACCTCATCACTTCCGTCTTGAACCGCGCTTTCTATTTTTATTTAAATCGTTATAGAAATTAACCCTTGTTAACTCCGCACCACACCCGCATATTATATTTGAAAACACGCATAACATTGTCGTATGAACTCTTTCTCTCTCTCTCTCTCTCTCTGCAGTCCAAACAGACCCCAAACACTAACAGTCCCCCCTCCCCTAATAAGCTTAAGGTATAACATTACAGCGAATCTTCCGGGCTGATCCAATTATGACGCTACTTAAATGCAGCTATAACATATTACACAGTAATGAGAGAGAGAGAGAGCAAGCCCCGTAACTCTTGCCGTTCTGCTCAAGCAATTTTATGTAACATTTGTGGTACAAAAACATCAATTAAACCACTTAACACCGGCCGATTTTTAAAAAAATTTCCTATGGGCTTCATCAGAGTTTTGTCGGCACTATACCGAAAAAACCAGTCCCGTACCTATTACCGTTTTTTTTGTATAACTGTTTGGAAATTACACACAGACACACACACAGACACACACACAGACACACACACAGACACACACACATTCTGGTGTTATTAAGTTGATTATATAGGTATAATGCATATAATAAATATATATTATATATATCCGTACCATTTTACGGACACCACGGCATCAACTTTAACACGACTTTCTGCAAAAAACCGTAAAAGATATAAAACTGAAATTTTTTTGACTGGGTCAAATGCTTTAATGGCCTTTAAATCAGCATGAAAAAATAAAAATTGGCCAAGGAATAAGAACTTTAGTGCCCGCTCGGGCCTCCAGCGTCCATTTTAATGTCCGTTCAATTAAAGTCCGATAAGGTATAAATTATACAAGAACACTGGAAAACCTTTGAAGACATGATCGTTTCCATGCCACTTAAACAATTACAGAAGATGTTTGATGATAGTTAGCGATGGTTCAAATCTTATATTGTTATTAAATCCTGAGATATTATAAGAGTGAGATTGGCAAATGCCCTAATTTGGAAATACAAACAACAATTTGGTATAGGAATCTCAAAGAATTACACTATATCTCACCTCGTTCAAGATAGTATGTAGAATCTTCCTCGACCGCGCAACAGGCTTTACTTTAGCTATGTTCCTGGTAAAGGCCGAGGTTGAGAAGCATATTTTAGAGATTTAGGAGTATAATAAATATTTCATATTTCATAAACTGCATGTTGCAACATCTGTTGAGTCCTTTGCGGCGTAATTTACACGTTTGTTTATATCTGCTAACAACCCACAATAAATGTTATTCAGGACTACTTAAATCTTTCAATATGCTACTTCAGGGCAGAGTGGTGTATTTACAGGGCGAAGAGAAACAACCCACAATAAATGTTATTCAGGACTACTTAAACCTTTCAATATGCTACTTCAGGGCAGAGTGGTGTATTTACAGGGCGAAGAGGAACAGCTACTTTCAATATGCTACTTCAGGGCAGAGTGGTGTATTTACAGGGCAGAGTGGTGTATTTACAGGGCAGAGTGGTGTATTTACAGGGCAGAGTGGTGTATTTACAGGGCAGAGTGGTGTATTTACAGGGCAGAGTGGTGTATTTACAGGGCAGAGTGGTGTATTTACAGGGCAGAGTGGTGTATTTACAGGGCAGAGTGGTGTATTTACAGGGCAGAGTGGTGTATTTACAGGGCAGAGTGGTGTATTTACAGGGCAGAGTGGTGTATTTACAGGGCAGAGTGGTGTATTTACAGGGCAGAGTGGTGTATTTACAGGGCAGAGTGGTGTATTTACAGGGCAGAGTGGTGTATTTACAGGGCAGAGTGGTGTATTTACAGGGCAGAGTGGTGTATTTACAGGGCAGAGTGGTGTATTTACAGGGCAGAGTGGTGTATTTACAGGGCAGAGTGGTGTATTTACAGGGCAGAGTGGTGTATTTACAGGGCAGAGTGGTGTATTTACAGGGCAGAGTGGTGTATTTACAGGGCGAAGAGGAACAGCTGCAGATGCTCTTCTCACCCGTGAATTGTAACTTAAAACTGCTGTAGGGGCATGCGATAAAGCAAATTGTGAGTTGAGTACTGCAGGAAGGGTGCGATAAAGCAAATTGTGAGTTGAGTACTGCAGTCCCCTACCCACGAGGGTATGATAAATTCCTTCAGGCTCTGACACCATTGAAAAGAGGGAACTGTTCAGTAATATAGAAAGATAAAACCACAGTGATCTAATGAAATATCACGTTATCTTACCTGTTCTCATGTAACTCAATATCTACAACACTCTTGTACATGTCACGTGAAGTGCACGTGGCTCATTAAATCACGTTCCTCCATCGTACCTGTCGCTTTGTGAGCTCCTTGTGATTCAGTTTTTATTTTAGCAACTTTGAAAGGTTACACTTTACTCAGCCTGACTTGTTTTTATTAACATATATTTTGTTGGCAAAACACCCAACTTCTTACACTGGTTTAAACAGGTACGAGAACATTCATAATTTTAACGTTTTGTCACATTACCACATTACCACTTAACAATATTTTCACATTACCACATTACCACATTACCACATTACCACATTACCACATTACCATTAACCACATTACTACATTACCACATTACCACATTACCACATTACCAAATTACCACATTACCAAATTACCACATTACCACATTACCACATTACCACATTACCACATTACCACATTACCACATTACCATATTACCACATTACCACATTACCACATTACCACATTACCACATTACCAAATTACCACATTACCAAATTACCACATTACCACATTACCACATTACCACATTACCACATTACCACATTACCATATTACCACATTACCACATTACCACATTACCACATTACCACATTACCAAATTACCACATTACCAAATTACCACATTACCACATTACCACATTACCACATTACCACATTACCACATTACCACATTACCATATTACCACATTACCACATTACCACATTACCACATTACCACATTACCAAATTACCACATTACCAAATTACCACATTACCACATTACCACATTACCACATTACCACATTACCACATTACCACATTACCATATTACCCCATAAATATATTACCATATTACCACATTACCACATTACCACATTACCACATTACCACATTACCATATTACCCCATAAATATATTACCACATTACCACATTACCATATTACCCCATAAATATATTACCATATTACCACATTACCATATTACCCCATAAATATATTACCATATTACCACATTACCACATTACCACATTACCATATTACCACATTACCACATTACCACATTACCACATTACCACATTACCACATTACCACATTACCATATTACCCCATAAATATATTACCATATTACAACATTACCACATTACCACATAACTATATTTTCATTTTCACATTACCACATTACCATATTGACACATAACTATATTACCACATTACCAAATTACAACATTACCATATTACCACATTACCACATTACCACATTACCACATTACCACATTACCACATTACCACATTACCATATTACCACATAAATATATTACCATGTTACCACATTACCACATTACCACATTACCACATTACCACATTACAACATTACCACATTACCACATTACCACATTACCACATTACCATATTACCACATAAATATATTACCATATTACCACATTACCATATTACCACATAACCACATTACCACATAACTATATTTTCATTTTCACATAACCACATTACCACATTACAACATTACCACATTACCACATTACCACATTACCACATTACCATATTACCACATAAATATATTACCATATTACCACATAACTACATTACCACATAACCACATTACCACATTACCACATTACAACATTACCACATTACCACATTACCACATTACCATATTACCACATAAATATATTACCATGTTACCACATTACCACATTACCACATTACCACATTACCACATTACAACATTACCACATTACCACATTACCACATTACCACATTACCATATTACCACATAAATATATTACCATATTACCACATTACCATATTACCACATAACCACATTACCACATAACTATATTTTCATTTTCACATAACCACATTACCATATTACCATATTACCACATTACCACATAACTACATTACCACATTACCATATTACCACATAACTACATTACCATATTACCACATTACCATATTACCACATAACTACATTACCACATTACCATATTACCACATTACAACATTACCACATTACCACATTACCACATTACCATATTACCAAATAAATATATTACCATATTACCACATTACCATATTACCACATAACTACATTACCACATAACCACATTACCACATTACCACATTACAACATTACCACATTACCACATTACCACATTACCATATTACCACATAACTACATTACCACATAACTATATTTTCATTTTCACATAACTTCATTACCATATTACCATATTACCACATTACCACATTACCACATTACCACATTACCATATTACCACATTACCACATTACCACATTACCACATTACCACATTACCACATTACCACATTACCATATTACCACATAACTACATTACCATATTACCACATTACCATATTACCACATAACTACATTACCACATAACCACATTAACCACATTACCACATTACAACATTACCACATTACCACATTACCACATTACCATATTACCACATAACTACATTACCATATTACCACATTACCATATTACCACATAACTACATTACCACATAACTATATTTTCATTTTCACATAACTTCATTACCATATTACCATATTACCACATAACTACATTACCATATTACCACATTACCATATTACCACATTACAACATTACCACATTACCACATAACTATATTTTCATTTTCACATAACTTCATTACCATATTACCACATAACTACATTACCATATTACCACATTACCATATTACCACATAACTACATTACCACATAACCACATTACCACATTACCACATTACAACATTACCACATTACCACATTACCACATTACCATATTACCACATAACCACATTACCACATTACCACATTACCATATTACCACATTACCATATTACCACATAACTACATTACCACATAACCACATTACCACATTACCACATTACAACATTACCACATTACCACATTACCACATTACCATATTACCACATAACTACATTACCATATTACCACATTACCATATTACCACATAACTACATTACCACATAACTATATTTTCATTTTCACATAACTTCATTACCATATTACCACATTACCACATTACCACATAACCACATTACCACATAACCGCATTACCACATTATTACATAACGATATTACCACATTACCACATTCCCACATAACCACATCACCACATAACCACATTACCACATAACTACATTACCACATAACCACATTACCACATAACCGCATTACCACATTATTACATAACGATATTACCACATTACCACATTCCCACATAACCACATCACCACATAACCACATTACCACATAACTACATTACCACATTACCACATTACAACATTACCACATTACCACATTACCACATTACCATATTACCACATAACTACATTACCATATTACCACATTACCATATTACCACATAACTACATTACCACATAACTATATTTTCATTTTCACATAACTTCATTACCATATTACCACATTACCACATTACCACATAACCACATTACCACATAACCGCATTACCACATTATTACATAACGATATTACCACATTACCACATTCCCACATAACCACATCACCACATAACCACATTACCACATAACTACATTACCACATTACCATATTACCATATTACCACATAACTACATTACCATATTACCACATTACCATATTACCACATAACTACATTACCACATAACTATATTTTCATTTTCACATAACTTCATTACCACATTACCACAAACCACATAACCACATTACCATATTACCACATTACCACATTACCACATTACCACATTACCACATTACCACATTACCACATTACCATATTACCACATAACTACATTACCATATTACCACATTACCATATTACCACATAACTACATTACCACATAACCACATTACCACATTACCACATTACAACATTACCACATTACCACATTACCACATTACCATATTACCACATAACTACATTACCATATTACCACATTACCATATTACCACATAACTACATTACCACATAACTATATTTTCATTTTCACATAACTTCATTACCACATTACCACATTACCACATTACCACATTACCATATTACCACATTACCACATTACCACATTACCACATTACCACATTACCACATTACCACATACCATATTACCACATAACTACATTACCATATTACCACATTACCATATTACCACATAACTACATACACATAACCACATTACCACATTACCACATTACAACATTACCACATTACCAACTGTACCACATTACCATATTACCACATAACTACATTACCATATTACCACATTACCATATTACCACATAAACTACATTACCACATAACCACATTACCACATTACCACATTACAACATTACCACATTACCACATTACCACAGTACCATATTACCACATAAATATATTAACAATTACCACAGTACCATATTACCACATTACCACACATTACCATCATAACGAGATTGTCAGTGTCACATAACCACATATCACATTACCAATATTACCACATAAATATATTAACATAGTTACCACATTACCACATTACCACAGTACCATATTACCACATTACATAGTACCACATAATATATTACCATATTACAACATTACCACATTACACATTACCATATTACCACATAACTACATTACCATATTACACATTACCATATTACCATCATAACTACATTACCACATAACCACAGGACCACTTTTACACATTACAACATTACCACATTACCACATTACCACATTACCATACTACCACATAATTATTACCATATTACCACATTACCATATTACCGGGGGGGGTCCCAAACCACCAAACCGACATAACGAATATTTACATTTACACAATAACCACATTTCCCAATACCGGGCAAATAACCCGACAAACAAAAATTAACCATATTACCCCACATTATCACCATTACCACATTACCATAAAACCATAAAATAACTACCTTACCACATCACGCGACATTAC